GATTGAAGAAAACATGGCGACGACGCAGTCGACGGCCTCATCCTCCGAGGCCCCCGGCAGCTTTCAGCTGCCATGGCAGGCAATCCCCAAGTTTATCCCTGGAACGACGGATGTAACAGAGTACAGTCGGAAACTTCAGTTTTTGGCGGCTATGTGGCCGAAGGAGCATCTTTCCTTACTGGCGCCCAGGGCGGCGTTGATGTGTGAAGGAACTTCTTTCAAGAAGGTGGCATCTCTCGATGCCAGCAAGCTCAAGGCCAATGATGAATCGGGAGTTAAGCTTTTGGTTTCAACATTGGGAGGCTCCTGGGGCAAAACAGCACTTGAGGAGAAGTATGATTGCTTCGAGAAGGCTATTTATGGCACCATCCAGAAGGCCGACGAGACAAACGACAGCTACGTGGCCCGGCATGATGTGCACTTTGAGGAGTTGTTAGCTGGGGGAGTGACCCTCAAGGAGGTTCGAGCGTACATTCTTCTGCGACAGTCGCAACTGACGGCCGATGATCGGAAGCGGATCGTTGTAGAGATGAATGGCGCATGGGACTATCAGAAGGTCTGCTCAGCAATACGGCTCCTGGGTTCTCGGTTTTTCACTGACTTGCAGGGTCAACGCAGTGGGAAGACTAAGACCTATGATGCCAACTATGTCGATGAAGGCGCCAATGAGGAGCCAGAGCGAGCTCTTCAGGCTTCCGCCCCCATCGCCAGCGAGGATGGTGACTTGGACAATGAGTTCATGGAAGCGCTGATCGCCGCGGAGGACCATGACGCCATGCAGGTCCAGGCCTTTGAGGAGGAGTTGGAGGGCTTCTTTCAGGAGACTCCAGATCTTCAGGAGGCTCTGGTGAGCTATCTGGAGGCAAGGGGCCGCCTCCTCGCGAAGAAGCGCTCGCGTGGGTTTTGGCCTGTGGCTTCCAGTGGAAAAGGGTCCAAGGGCGGTCGTGGTTTTGAGGGCGGAAAAGGAAAGGGCATGAATGCCCGAGAGCAGCTCCTTGCCAGGATCAGTCGGAGTCACTGCAGAGCTTGCGGTGAGAGAGGACACTGGAAAGCTGAGTGTCCGAAGGCAGGAAAGTCCGGTGCCAAAGGCGAGACCGCCACGACGACTGTGGCTGAGGTGGATGAGCCCACCTACACGATGATCGAGACTGCGGAGAACCCAATCGCCGAGATCAGTACCAGCCTCCCCGAGGGAACGTTGTCCCTGGACGAGGCCCACCTAGCAGTAAGCGAGCACAAACAGGATCAGATCAAGCACCGACTTAGACAAGTGGTAGAGAACATGCGTGCCTTCCACCCAGCTCCCAACCCTAATTGCGCCAGGCAGCCAAGCAGTGGGGAAGCCTCCTCGACTGACGGTTGTGTCACTGGGATAGTTAGAAGCTTTAGAAAGCCACCCTCTCAGGTTTCTCCTGAGACTGCAGCGGCCCTTCTCAGCCAAGGCCCCATAGAAGCCATTTTGGATACGGGGGCTAGCCGCTGTGTAATGGGCAAGAGCCTTGTGTCTGGATTCCTTAGCCAGCTGGAGTCTTCTGCGCGGGAGAAGGTTAGGGTTAGGGTTGCTAAGAGTGAGGTTCGGTTTAGATTTGGAAACAATCAGACCCTCCTTAGTCAGCAAAGAATCCTTCTGCCCTTCAGGACCGCTCAAGATCAGATTTTGTGGCTGGGAATCGAAGTTGTGCCAGGTGGAACGCCTCTGTTGTTCAGTAAGAAAGCCCTCAAACAACTACATGCTGTGATAGATACACGTACTGATCAATGCCACCTGCACCGCTTACAGACGAGTTTAAGCCTGAAGACAGGGCCCACCGGACTCTACATGGTCGATCTTGCCCGCTTGTGTGTGGAAAGTGACAAAGAGCACCATTGCCAGACTGTGACCGAAGAGCTGGTTGTTACTGAACCGCACACAGCCCCTCTCCTGCATGTCAATCAGTGCCATGAGCTAGAAGCTCCGGCAACAAGGCGCATAGGGGGTTGCCGAGGGTTCTCTAGGAAGTCAGGTTCTGAGAATTCATGTTTTAGGAAACTCCGAAATAGGTCGGGGTTAGATAATGAGCCTGCGCTTGAGTCGAAGGTGTCTCTTGCGCAACCACACCAGTCGCCAGAAGGCCAATCTGTGCATAAAGAGGAAATCCCAGCAGCTACTGAGCCCAAGCGCACCCATCCTGCATTCCCGCCGTGCATTGTACCTTCGTTGCCTCCCCATGTCCGTGTCGAAGGGTTCCCTCACTTTGGGAGCTCGGTACGCTCAGCTGAACGACCCTCAGCTGCGTCTCAGCCTGGACGAGATGGAAGCAATGAGCCTCGAGCAACTAGGCGAACTGAAGATCGATTTCGGGCGTACCATGTCCGGCCGGACATACATGGACGTAGCCATCAACGAGCAGGCATGGAGCAAATGGATCATAGAGCATATGGCCAAGAGCACCAAAAAGGAGCATCAGGCCTTTCTGCGTTTCATGGAACGCTATGTGGAGGAAGCCGAAGGGGTCGAAGCCTCTTTGATGGACGCTCTCGAGGCTTCCGAACCAGGGAGAGCCACAGCCCGTCCCAAGATCGCTGCCAAAAAGGGAACCACGTCCCGAGCAGCCGCGTCGTCGGACATGGGACCCGAGACCTGGGATCTTGCGAACGACCGAGAGCGCGATTCGGCCCTCGACCATCAGGTCACTGCTCCCTCTACTCGAGTGAACCAGATGGAAAGCGTGATGCAGCAAGTCCTGGTTGCCATCCAGGAGCTCAATGTGGCCACTCGCCAGACCTGAGCGAGGTCAAAGCCTGCCAGCACGAGCTATCCCAAGTCTTGGCAGCACAGACCCTAGATATCTCTAAGATTGAGGATACTGCTAAGAAGCTTGTTCAAGAAAGTGCTGTGGTGGGGGACTTAAAGAAGTTTCTTCGGGGTATTCCATGGGAACTGCTAAAGTCTAAATCCGAAGGATCTCGTTTCAGTTCAGAACCCCACGAGCAGGAGAAAATGAAGCCATCAGCGTACTTAGTCTTCGGAATGTATGTCCATGGAGGTCAAGTGGGGTTAACACGTATCTCCAGAGAGATGCCTTGGCTTACCAAAGCGTTGACTCGCGTTGTTGGTCTGACAGATTCCCATCACCCCAGTACCTCAATTACGGTGTCCCGAAATGTTCTCTCTCAGCCTCATCGAGATAGTTATAACGATCTTCAGGTTCATAATTTAGTTGTGCCAAATTGAGCAACCGCGTGCTGGCGGAGAGATTTGGGTCGCTCAGCCTCCAAAGTCCAGCCAGAAACGGCACACTATGATGTGCGGCAACCAGGAGCTTGAAGGTTCCCTTCTCTCCCTAAGAAACCCAGTGTACATCAATCCACACGTCGGGCACGCTACCATGCCCTGGGAAGGGAACCGAGCAGTGCTGATCAGTTATGCCTTGAAGCCTGTCTGGAAGCTGGAGGCTTCCGATGTTGTTTGGCTGCATCAGCATGGGTTTGTGCCGCCCAAGTCAGAACCTCCTGATCCCCAATCCGTATCCCTGGCTCTGACTCCCGAATCCGATGGAGTCTCAGAGTCCAGCCTTCGTCTTGAATTGAAAGCCGCACAACATTTGTTGCAGGGTTCTGCAATCACAAACCTGGCTTCCGATGTTGATGCTGCCAGCAGAACGGCTTTTTGCAAAGCTGAAGAAGCATCCTGGAACGTGTTCCAGGATTCACTGTTGACATACGGCCATGCCGTGGAAGCGCAGCTTGATGTTTTAGAGGTTTATGCCAACGCCGATAGTCGCTTGACTAGCTGGGTGAATCGTTGTGGGGGTAATGCCCGGAGGTTTACTAGTATAGATGGCGATCTGTCAACAGCCTCTGGCCAGCGCGCTCTTTGGGATCTTCTGCAAAAGACCCAGCCTCGCCATGTGTGGTGCATTCCCGATTGCAAACACTGGGGTTCCTGGTCTCGACTCAACGCCGCCAGAAGCGTAAGCTATCGTGATCACTTGTTAGAAAGACAAAGACAGGACCAGGTACATTGGCAATTGTGTACTAAGATTTGCATGTGGCAAAAGTCGCAGGGTCGCGAGTTTCATCTAGAATTGCCATCCGGAACCAGCCTCCTTGCATCTAAAGAACTAGAAGCAATCCTGCAAGCCACACAGAAAATTCATGTAGACATGTGTGCTTTTGGCTTGCAGACTCCAGTCAGTCATCGACCAATTAAGAAGCCCACCACCCTTCTGAGTACTTCACCAGGGTTGCTTAGGAGCTTAGTTCAAAAGCAGTGCCAAGGGAAGCATGTGCACCAGACCATTGCTGGTCGTCTGCGTGAGCTCAGCGGCACTTCCGTGTCCCAGTTCGCAGGGTCCTACTGCGATGGCTTTGCTGAGCATGTCGCCCGACAGTTAGTCCAAACTTCCGGTACTGTGTTGGCTGCTGATGGTTCTAGTCCCCTTACCCGTAAGCGGTTTAAGACCTCCACCGGTTCCTCAGTTCCCAACATTACCCTAGGACCCCAGAAGCGCGAAAGCTCTAATTCCCCAGAAGGCGACATGCGCGGTAGTCCGCAGCGGCGCTTTGAGCTGTCGACCGCCAATCCCGTGCATGACACAGTCGAGTTGCCTGGTGAAGAGTGGGTTCCACTTTTCGAAACCGCCTCAACCTGCGGAGGACGGCCTGCAGCTTCCCTGGTAACCCCGCATCACCCGTTGATTCCTCTCCTGCAGAATAAGCTTGCCCATCTTGATGTTCTTCAAGTGTTCGTAGGAAAGGGAACTCGGAACCTTCAAAGTCCCCTGGGTGCACTCCCTGTGACCGTAGCCCCATGGAGAGTAAGCCTTGGAAGTAGACAAGCTGCAGACGGATCCCGAAGGTTCTTTTGTCTAGGCAACGAAGATCGCACTACGATGCGCCCTGAGCGCAAGAAGTTACGAGTTGAAGCACTCGAGACTGCCATCACGGTGTTAGGCAAACCTAAGCATCCCAGCACATCTGCAGCTAGTCAACCTGTCCTCAGTAACACCCCGGCAGCCTCTGAGCCCGTAGATCCCGGAAAGCCTAACATCGAAGGATGGGGACCTCCGCCGATTCCCCTGCACGGACCTGCGTTCCGGAACTTAGATGCTGAGTCCAAGAGTCGTCTTGTGAGAATACATAATAATCTCGGTCATCCTGCACCCCTGAAGTTGTCACAGCATCTAAAGGCCGCCGGTGAAGACCCTAAGATGGTACAAGCTGCTCTCGAGTTCCAGCGCGATGCATGTCTTGAGTCGACAGAGCCCCGCCATCAACGCCCGAGCAAGCTTCCCGAGCCTAAGGAGTTCGATGAGTTAGTAGGGGTAGATGGGTTTCTGTTTAAAAGCCGCTCAGGATATTCTGCCCATGTTATCCACGTCCTTGATGAAGCAAGTTGCTTCCATCTTGGTCGTCGCATTCTGTCTAGACATGCCTCACAGGCCATGAAAGCTGTTTCAGAGTTCTGGATGTCATGGGCAGGGCAGCCGCACAAGTTCTACTTAGATCCGGCTGGAGAGTTCCGATCCGAAGAAATGTTGGAAAAGTTTCAGAGCATGAATTCCAAGGTCTTCATAAGTACCGCCGCTTGGCAGCGAGGTCGTGTTGAACGGCACGGAGATATCGTCAAGGATATGCTAGCGCGGATAGACACCCAGCAACCCATAGTCAGCGATACCTCTTTTGACCAAGCTCTTCTTGTAGCCTTTCAAGCGAAAAACGCACTGGTCCGCCACCGTGGGTATTCACCAGAACAGATTGTGCTGGGTAAATCAGTCCGGATTCCTGGAAGCCTCACTTCCGATGAAGACCTGGCATCCCATGCCATCACCGAAGGCTCTGATCTTGAAGCTGAGCAACACCGTCACCGCCTTGAACTTAGGTGCCAAGCCCGTAAAGCTTTTTGGGAAGCCGATAATAGCCAAACCATCCGTAGGGCCATGTTAAGGAGAAGTAACCCCATCAGAGGACCCTTTAGGCCCGGCGATTGGGTTTTGTACTGGCTTCGCAAAAATTCCCCTAACCGTTTGGCGTCGGGACGCTGGCATGGTCCAGCCAAGGTGATTTGCCAGGAAGGACAATCCATTGTTTGGATTTCACATGGCACCACGGTGTTGCGATGCGCCCCTGAGAATTTGCGGCCCGCCAGCTTGAGGGAATGGCAGCAGTTGACCCCGGATGATCTTGAAGGGATAAGGTCTAATGTAGGCGGTTCAAGTTCTTTCGTAGACTTGTCAGCCCCAAGTGCACCAGTAACTGAGAATCCACCGTCATCTGCCGAGCTCCCTCCGATGGAGATTGGAACACCTGGAGTTCCACCAATGCCTGTTGCCCCGCCAGCTGCAAATCCTGAGGATAATCTAGAACAACCCGAGCATGAACTTACCCCGCAAGTGTCCCTTGGCCATGAAGGTGTTGGAGAGCTGTCTGAAGTTGAGCGCAATCCCAGCTTAACCGCTGGATCTGCTGCCCCTTCGCAAGTTCCTGCGCCCACCTCGGTTGATCCTTCCGGTGTACTGCCATCAGAGCCTGAGCCCTTGAATGGAATGGATATCCCTATTCCCGAATCTGATGAAGGTCTCATGACTGAGTGTGTCAATTTGGCAAGCGCACCGGTGGGGGAAATCGCTGGTGAAGTGGATGAGCTTTTCAGCTTCTTGACACTCCAGGCAAGCAAAGAATCCACCTGCCCTCCAGTAGCTGAAGACAACCTTCCCTTTGTTGTAGACCCTCTGATCTGCAGCAATGAGCAAGCCTACTGTCTTGAGATTCCCGTCAGCGCCAAAACCCTGAAGCGATGGGCACGTGAAAAGTCCCCGGAGAAGATGTCTGGTCTTGCCGCTGTAAGCAAACGAGCCCGATCAGAAGTCTACGTCAAGGATTTATCATCCGCCGAACGTGCTCTCTTTGAAACCGCCAAAGCTAAAGAAATTAGCTGTTGGCTACAAACCTCAGCCATCCGTCCAGTCCTTAGGCGTGAACTCAATCCCGAGCAAATTCTGCGCAGCAGATGGATCCTCACCTGGAAGGCCCCCGAGCCTGGAGAGGAACAGCGTCGTGCTAAGGCTAGATTAGTCGTACTAGGGTTTCAAGATCCCAAGTTGGTTGATGTGTTGCGCGACGCTCCCACCTTATCCAAGGAGGGAAGGGCCCTGGTGCTTCAAACCATTGCCTCCTCCCAGTTTCCCTTGAGCTCTTTTGATATTAAGACAGCTTTCCTTAGAGGTAAGGCCGATGAAAGTAACCCCTTGGCGATGGAGCCCCCACCCGAGGTTCGGAAAGCCTTAAACCTCAAGGATGACGAAGTTTGCGAGCTGTTGGGAAACGCTTATGGTAGAGTGGACGCCCCGTTGCTGTTTTATAAGGAGTTGAGCAAGCAGCTGCTCCAGCTGGGATTCACCAGGCATCCTCTTGAGCCCTGCGTGTTTATGCTGTACACCGGTCAGAAGCTAAACGGGATCCTCGGGGTTCACGTCGACGACGGTGTGTGCGGAGGGGATGCCAAGTTCTCTCAGAAAATTCAGGAGCTGGAGAAGAAGCTGCCGTTCGGGAGCCGTAAGTATCGTAGCTTTGTCTTCACGGGGATTCACCTTGAACAATTTCCCGATTTTTCCATCCGAGCCGCCCAGAGCGATTACGTGCGCAACATTCCTCAGATAGACATCGGTAGAACACGCCGCCAGGCGCCAGAAGCCCCTGTTTCTGAAAATGAGCGCACTAAGCTTAGGGGTCTAATCGGAAGCCTCCAGTATGCAGTCACACACACCCGTCCGGACATGGCAGTCAAGCTTGGAGAGCTCCAGTGTCAAACGACGTCGGCAACCGTCCAGACGTTGTTGACTGCAAACAAGGTTCTCCGAGAAACCCAGGAGCAAGCTCAGGTGTGTCTGTACTACTTACCCATAGCTACCAAAGAGCTCACCTTTGTCTCGTTTGGTGACGCTTCCTTTGCATCATCCCGGAACCTGAATTCCCACCAGGGTGCCCTAGTATGTGCCACCGACAGCCGCTTAGATAAGAACCTTGAGGCCCCGCTATCTCCCCTGACCTGGACCTCTAAAAAAATCCCTCGGGTTGTTAGGTCAACCTTGTCAGCGGAAGCTTATGCAATGTCCAAGGCAGTGGACATGTTGGGATGGATGCGAGCCTTATGGGGTGTAGTACATGAGCCTAATTTCAGTTGGCAGAGTCCTGAAAAAGGGTATCAAAGCTTGAATCCAGCGATTATCATAACAGGCTGCAAATCGCTTTACGACCTGGTCACCAGGCTAGCGATGCCATCATGCGAAGAATACAGAACTACCTTAGAAGTCCTACTCATCAAGCAACGATGAGCCGAAAACAACCGTTTCCGTTGGATTCCGACGACGCTTCAAGCCGCCGATTGTTTGACCAAGAGCATGGACGCAAGTTTGCTCAGGGCTGTTCTGGCTAGAGGGAGGTTTAAACTCTTCGACGGTTCCAAGACCTTAGAGAAAGATGCTCAGCGCAAGCAGGCCATTCAATGGCTCTCTGATCCTCCGGATCCCTCAGCAGAGTAAGCTTGAGCAATGTGTTGCTGTCAGCCATGCATCCTCCGAGCGAGTCCGTGGGGGACTCTATTCAATCCGCGATCGAGCGGAACTTGTCCAATAAAGTTGGGCCCGTGTGAATTCTTCAGCGAGAAGTGCATTCAGTCGAGCTGTAAGATGTGTTGGACATGTCCGCTCTTCCGCGACTCCGGATCAAGATCCGGAGAGGGAGGGCATTGGGCTTTGCCTCAGGGAGGCACAT